CCTTAAGGGGTATCCACACGAAGGAGAACTCCGCGGACGGATGTCGTGACGTCAACAACCCGGGAAACTCCGTCCCCGGCTCCGCCGCGTGCACTTGCGGAGCTTTCGTGCTGTGAGGACAAAGCCTCCGCGCCTCCGCCACGGAGGAGAACGCGCCGCGAGGCGTCAAAAAGGGATGTCGTATGTGTCACGTGATGCGCGATCCGCGGAGGAAAGGGGCGGATTTCTCCTTTGTGTGGATACCCCTTTAGCGGGGCGCTTTATCCGTCTGCGACCCAGACGGTCGCGTACTGGTTTATCAATTTTTTGTTGGTAACGCCAAATTCCGTGCGATAAGCGTTTATGCACCCACGCGTCCTTCGGCGTCTCACCCCTTTTTCAAGAGCCTTTTGCAGTATATGCCCCGGACGGGTTTTTCTTGCTTTGTGGCGATTTCAATTGCGTTCTTGATTCTAACCGCGATGTTCGCGGCCCTGGCCGTGGGCGTGGCATCTGGAACGCTCGTGAGTTGGCCCGGCTGCTCGGAATCTACAACCTCCGCGACGCTTGGCTCGAACTTCACGGCGCTTTGTACGTACCCACGTGGTCGCGCGGCTCCTCGTCCAGCCGCCTCGATCGGGTGTCTCCCTCCCGGTCTCGTGCCGCGCCCCCTTCGTTGCGCTGTTTTCTTTTCCCGCCGCTGCCGCATACGTTTCCGACCACCGCCCAGTGTCTATCGTTTTTGACCTCTCGAGCTTTCTGCATCCTCGCGGTGACACCTGGCGCTTAGACAGCACGCTGTGACGCTATTGCGAGACGAGCAGGCCCTTTCCAGCGTGCGCCAGTCGATTCGCATGTTGCTGTCGGTTGCTCCGCTGTCTCCCGCCCGCTGGGAGGTCATCAAGTCCGACTGCTGGTTTTACGCGACGACAGGGGGGGAAGTTGCTTCGACGCCGCGTTACTGAGGCCCTTAATGAAACGATCCGCCGCATCCGTATCGTGCAGCGTGGTGGCACGCGCACCTACTTGATGTCGGAGTACTTGGCGCTTCTTTGCGACCGCTACCAGCGTCTGCTTCACTCGTCGTTTCGACTCACCGTCGCGCAGCAACTGCGGGGTCAGCTCGTGGACGACCCCGAAGTGCTTCAGTGCCTTCGCGCCTCTCGTACCGGGAGAGATGAACCCTCGTACGTTCCGAATGTCCGCCTCGCAAGTGGCGGCCTTTCGGCCGACTCCCGCGACATTAGTGCAGTGTTCTACGAGTTCTTCTCGTCCCTTTTTCGTACGGACCCTGCGGTGTCCGCTTTGAAGCTTGCCGAGCGAGTTCGCCTATTTTGTGGTGACCTCCCGGCTAGCCCTGGCTTTGAGGGTCCTTCTCTTGTACGCCCCACCACTCGTGACGAACTTTTTGACCTTCTCAGTGCGATGAAGGTCGGGTCTGCCCCCGGGCCCGACGGTTTGCCTGCCGAATTTTACGTGGCCTTTTGGGACGTCCTCGCGGACCCTCTAGTCGACCTTGTCAACCATTTCTTGGAGACTGGGGAGGTCCCTCCTTCCTTCCGACACGGTCGGGTCGTCCTTCTTCCCAAAGATGGTTCCCCGTCGGATCCCGCGGCATGGCGGCCTATCACACTCCTTAACGTTGACTACAAACTTGTGGTGTCCCTGTTTGTTTCACGTCTCGGACCGCTCTTGCCCTACGTGGTGAGCCCGGCCCAGACGAGTTCTGTGCCCGGGAGGAACATCTTCTCCTCCCTTTCTCTTACCCGCGACCTATTTACGTACGCGCACTTCACCAACTTGTCAGGAGCCTTCGTCTCATTAGACCAGGAGAAGGCTTTCGACCGCGTCGAGCACCAGTTCTTGTTCGAGGTCTTGGGCGCCTTCGGCCTTCCTGAGAGGTTCGTCGCCCTCCTACGGTCACTGTACGGTGGCTTGACGAGCCGTCTCCTTGTCAATGGATGACTCCTTGCTCCATTTCCCGTCACTCGGGGAGTACGGCAGTGTTGTCCTTTATCCCCCTTGCTCAATGTTTTGAGCCTCGATTTTCTCTTAAGACGTTTGGCGTCCTGCTCGGACATACGAGGCGGTCTAGACTGCGTTACCGTCAGTGCCTATGCTGACGACATCGGTTTGTTCATTCGGGACTCGGAGAGCCTTGAAGCTGCTATGCGACTCTTTTCTGAGTATGGCGTCCTGTCGGGCGCACAGTTAAACCGCTCCAAGTGCAAGGCACTTCTGCTCCGTGGCGCATCCCCTCCAACCTTGCCGGCGGATATTCAGGTCGTCAGCGAGCTCCGCATTCTTGGCTTATTCTTCGACTGTCGTGGCGTGGCGTCCTGTACCTGGGAGGTTGCATTCACTAACCTCAAACGGCAGGTCTCTGCTGCCGAAGCGTTCCCGTTGTCTCTTCGAGACCGCGCTTACCTTGTTAAGGCCGTTTTCTGCGGCCCTCTCTTTTTCGCCGCTCACGTCGCCATCCCTCCCCCCCGGCTCATTCACCGCGTCACTTCTTGTCTCTTTCGCTTTTATTGGAACGGGGGCTCCGAGCATGTCACCCGGGTGGTACTTCGTCTCCCCACGTCCCTCGGCGGCAGAGGCATGCCGTGTGTCGATACCATGACCCGTTTGCTGGCCCTTCGTACCGTCTTGGGGGTAGTGGAGAACACGGAGCACCCTGCGCGTTCTCTTACCCTCTATTTCCTGGGACCTTCGCGCCGTGCGCTCGTTCCTCGCGCTTTGGGTAACCTCTACCCTGGCGCCGAGTCCACTCCGCCGTTCTACCAGGCGGTGGTGAGCCTCCATAACGAACTGCTGCGCGCGTTCCCGAACCTTGTGGTGCGGGCCGTAGCCCCTGCCCGTGTTGCTGAAGAACTTTGCGTTCAGCGCGTCACTCCCGAAGAGCGCCGAAAGGCGACCGCCTTCCCCTGGTCTTCATTGGTGTCCCGCCGTCTGTCTGGGTCTGTAGACGATTTTGAATGGCGTCGAGGGTGGGAAATCCTGCCTACGAAGCAACGTCTCCACCGCTGGGCCTTAGTCCCGGACCCCCGTTGTCCCAACTGCGGACAACTAGAGACTGTTTCGCATGTCTTCCAAGAATGTCCGGTAGCGCAAACATTTTAGCGCCTCGTTCACCACGGGTTTCGACCCTTGGGAGTTCGCCACTTTGCTCTCGGTGGCCGGTGCCCACGGAGTGGCCTGGCTTTGCTTCTCCTGGCCTTCGGACACTTCGTTCTCTGGAGGAATCGCTGTACCTCGGTGGGCCAACAGCGGCTCACCAGTGCCATGTGGCCTCTCCTGTCCCAGCTCCGTGGAGCCTTGCTCCGCCACCTCGCCTCTGAACTTTTCTGGTTAGGCGAGCGTGAGTTACTGCCCAGGTGGTCCTGCCGCTACGTTACTTTAGTCCACGGCCACATTTCCTTAGCATTTGCTCCCCTAGCCCAGGTGTGAGTGGAGTACGCGCCCTCGCGAGGACGGTTTTATTTTGACCGCATTTTTTTCCATTGTCCGGTGTAATAACGGTGGTTTTGTTGTAAATCCCTTGCGTCGCGTCGCGTTATTCTGAGACGGCCTAGTCCGCCCGTCCTTGCGCCCTGTTTTGCCCTGTCATTGTACCTTTCGTGACTTTGTGCCAAACGTTAATAAAATATTTCCTAAAAGCTGAAGGAGCACCGTTCCCCATGATTCCTTAAGTGCGGGCCGGGACGCTTGGTAATACTGCAAATGATCTATTCGTGAAATAAGGATTTCGTGATATTAGGAAGGTCCTACCGCGTTATTGTAGATGAGGATGAAAAGAACAACAAACGACGTGGCTGTCTTGATGGTTGCTTCCAAACCTCTTTTGTCCTCGAGCACCTCGAGTCGCGTGCGTGCGCCGCGCCTCGAGCCATCTCTTTTATTTTTGTAAGAAAGATGAATGGTGTGGGTGCTTCACACCCTACACGCGAACACTCTAGGCCATGCCCATGCCTTTGTTGAGCTGTCAGCGAAACGTCGTCATTTCGGTAAAAAGATGTTAGTGATCACGACCAACTCTCGGAGAGTTGATGTCTAAAAGCCGCTGTTTCTCGTTCTCAAGTTTTACCCGCTTTTGCATTTTTTGTTTGTTGTGAACTGTATATGCTACGTCTGTTTTTTTAGCTAAAATATGTTGTGCTATATGAGCAACACCGGAAACGAAATGTCTGGCCGCCATATAGACCCCTTTCCGAAGTTCAGTGCCATCTGGGTGCTATGTTCAACAAATGTTTCGTTTCTCCTAAAAAGAAACGGAAGTGACAAAAGTGACGATATCCCGTCTGATTGGTTAGAGGCTCAAATGACGAAAGTTCCCTCTTTCGTCATTTGAGCCTCTAACCAATCAGACGCGATATCGTCACTTCCGTCACTTCCATTTCTTTTTAGGAGAAACGAAACATTTGTTGAACATAGCCGCCCTGTATCTCAAATGGAAGTTGAACTTTTGCCGTGCTAAGGACGGCAGTGAACCTCCAGTCTGTAGTATTTTATCGGGCACTGTCACATTCGGAAGTCACCGGCAAACGAGAATGCGCTCTTCACTGCACAGTCCTTTCTCGATCACTTTCAGCGTTGATGGCCTCAAAGATGACCCCAGTCAGAACGATGCGCCAACACACGCGGACGCATCGATAAAGTTCTCTACATCTAAGGGCTTTGAAGTCGATTGTGTGCTACTCGCAGATTGACCAGGCCCGTGTTAGAAATGAACACTTCCGCAGCTACTGCATTCAATTCCTGCCTAGCATCGTGCCGTCTCGAACGTAAATGCCTCGAATCATCAGCTATAGGGTTATTTTCAACTTCTTTCTTCGCAGTAAACAGAAGGCCGCCTTTAGCGCGACACACATGCCATTTTTCGGATGATGATAGGGATTAGCGAATTTCTTATTAATTTTATTAATATCCTTATTATTATTAAGCTTATTATCATCCTAACCAACTTCAGCTTGTTTAGGATGATAATAAGAGAATGCCGGGTTTAAGACGTGTGGCTTCACCTCGTATAAGGAAATGGGGTCCCCGCTGTTGGTAACGTTGGCTCCAACGTTGCTGACGGTTTGGTTGTCCAACTCGTACTTCAGCCCCCTCGTGGAAACGGTGGGGATTAGCGACTTATGAATGCTAGCGTCGTTCTTGGTGACTTCGTGGAGGACCCAGAGCTGCACGAGAAATAGTAGTGGCGTCAATCAATGACCGAACACGATAATAAACCTGAACTTCCAGGAACGATCTTCCACCATAAAGACGAAATTAAGGAAAGAATGAGCGGGTTGGTAGGGGTAATTAAGCTTAAGGAAGAAAACGAGATGGGACGGACAAAAACAAACTTGTGTTTGTCCGTCCCTTCTCGTTTTCTTACTCAAGTTTAAGACGAAATTGTTTCTTTTATCGGTGATAATACTTGGGCTTGTTGAGGTATTTGCGTCTGTTTGTAGCAAGGTGTACGATGTATACTATTTCTTTTCTAAGCTTATGAGGTTTGCTAAAATAAAAAGCCGTAAAAGCAGCGCTAACGCGTTTGTGCAGATACGGCCAGGGGGACATACTATAGGGGGCTAATAATATCGAGTAGTTGGCTAATTAAATAAAATATGTTAACACTTTTATTATTAAAAATAAATATGATTTAAATCAGAAACTTGCTGAGCGTAAAAAAAACGACTAAATCAGTCCATATTAAAAAAAAAGAAAAAAATTGGAACACGTATCTAGCACGTTGGAGCGCTAAAGTTACCACTCGTGTAGCAGGAGCATTGCTACCCAGTGCGATAACGCGTCCGCGCGGTTTTCCCGTCTCGTATCATCCGTGTCTTGCCATCCTGGGCTTGTACCTGTTGCGCAAGTGGTACCTTTAGAGCGTACTGCGCTTCATACACGCTCAAAATCTTTCTGAAAATTACGGATTTTGTGGTTTTCGATGACGCTCAGCAAGTGTCTATTTGGAAGCATATGTCTATTTTCACTAATTAAAAAGTGATTGAATAAAGTTTAGTTATTTATTCGATTAATTGTGACGATTAACCGACATCACAAAGTCCCCTTGGCCGTATAAGTCACATAGATCTTTCACGGATTTTTTAAACAAATCTGTTAAACTTAAAAAAAAAAAAGAAACCCTGTATTTTACGTAACGGGCTAAAACTGAGCTAACATTTTCTGCTGTTGCTCTGCTCTGAGTTAGCTGCCGCGTTTTAATTGTTCCCTCTCCCGCGCTCTCCATATACTTCGTCTCACAGTCGAACAAGCTTTAAGACAGTCGTATTTACATTGCTACCGAGGTACAGTCCCCTGCAATACGAAAGATACACTGGGAGAGCGTGGCTGAGGAGGTGGCTGGCGGGGGCGCTCCGAGCGCCCCGGGCCATGTCCTCGCTTTTCTCCTTCGCGTCTATTCCGTTGGGTGGCGTTGCCTCCTCTGGAGGCAACGCCGCCCAACGGAATAGACGCGAAGGAGAAGGAGGACGCGAAGGGTTTTATAGACTCACTTTTTTTGCAGTGCGGAGTGAATATAGATTTCACATTTAAATATTCTTAGCTTAAATGGTAAAACAAAATGGCTAGGTGGCGTGAGCTACTGCCCGTTTGAAAGGGCTCAGCCGGATTCATCCATCCATCCATCCATCCATCCAGCCTAGATTAAGGAGAGGGAGCAACTCAAACCATCGAGGGCGTTTGCGATTCAATGGCGGACGCCTCCCGCACAGATTGGTGGCAATGGACCTTTTCCATATACCGACGGCACCAGGCGGTGGCTGCGCGAACTAAAAAATCGAGGAAGTGACCTGCGCTACCAATCAATAATGGGAGCTACGTTACCAGTTGCTTCGCTCTCTGAGCAGCGTCGCGTGCCCAATGCAACGAGGTAGGCCTAGCGCGACTTTAAAGAAGGAAATCCGTAGCGTCCACCCAAACGTCGTGTTTTTCTTTCCGTCCACTTTCTTTTTTTGTGTAACACAATTATATATATGCTGCAATTACGTGTTCTACTCGTCGATTGACAGCCTCATTCCGAATTTTCTCGATTTTTTCGTGCCGACTTCCACCGCTTGGCATCGGGCGCTCGCGCGTGCGCAGAACGCTTCTCGGAAAAGGTCCATTGTGCATGCGTTACGTTGTCGCGTGGCGAGGAAGAGATGGGGTAGAAAGGCAGAGACGCTTGCAGACGTTCAGCGCTTTCGTCACCTCCTCGCGGCTCGTATTACAAGCGCGGCCCATTGACCACGTGACCGCGATCGATCAGTCGGAACGACTGATCGATCGCGGTCACATGGTCGGAACGCAGTCGGATCGCGGTCGGAACGACTGAAAATTTTAGTATATCGTTCCGATAACTCCGATAACGATACCCGATGCTCCGCCGCAGCATTTGCGCACGCATCATATCATTAACGGGTATCGTTATCGAGGGGTAACGGAGGTATCGAAACGATCTGCTAAAACTCTCGAATATCTGCGGCGCACCACTGTACCAAGGATTCGATGGTTGACGTCTTACTCGCAGTAGAAGCAGATTTGTGCCCGTTACTTGAAACATGTAATGGATTACGATAGCCACAAATATGACGGATTACCGTTACAAATTGCTTCCACTGAAGAGTAAAGGATTACTTTACTCGTTACGTTACTAATAACTTTCACGTTACTCTTCCCGCACGTAAAGCAATAACATTTTTTTAATGTTTTCAAAAATGTCCCGCAACACTACTTCCCATTTCTCATACGCCCCCATTATGGTAGTCCTAAAAATAAAACATTCTATTTAAGAGAAAGAATGTAGGTGCATGGGCACTCCGTTTACCTGTAAGCTGACAAGGCAGCGAAAGCTGCAACCACACTCGCCATCCGGCCAGCTTACAGCCACCGGAAGCGATCTCTGGAATTCTGCAGACAAAGCTGATTGTGCGCACGTTCAGTAGCAGCGTCTACCCTCGCTAGGAAATCAAGAAGACAACGCCTACTCGGCAGCGTCTTCTTGATTCTTGTTTTCCGCACTGCGTGTGTCTCGCACGTTTCTCTAGTGTTTCTAGTGACCGGTCATTCGAAGATCGTGTTTTACTTTTGGTTATTCTCCTCTTCACAATGTTTTCTATTTTGTTGAACTTGCTATCTTCATGCTTCTAAATTGCCCGCTCACGCTGCTCCAGTTTCTGCTATGTTAATATTTTTTTTTAAAAGTAACGAGTAATTAAAGTAATCCGTCACCAATATTTTGAAACGAAAGTACATTACAAATTCCTGTCGCAAAAAGTAACGTGGCAATTAGGAAATTACTTACAAAAAAAATAAAGCATTACTTTCCACGTCTGAGTGGAAGCAACCGACGCGGCTGTATGAATAAATGTGTAGTAACCAGGCGTGATTAATCTGCGCAGGAGGCGAAAAAGGACGGCATGAGCAGACTTTTGCAAATTGCCTGCTTTTGTATCGTCGGAGCTTTTCTATTCTGAAAAGGGATTGCTAAATCGTTCCCGCCCCGCTCTTACCCAACTTTTTTCTTGGAAACCGAAGATGTCCTTCTCGAGTGTGCACGGAGGGTACGCCTTCGCTGTGCCGGGGGCCCGGAATTCGTGGGTGTGTACCACAAGAGCTCGGCTGCGGCTGCGCGCGGGTTAAGACTCACGACGGCGATAAAGGAAACGACCAGCACGTTCACTCCATAGTAAAAAAACAGAAACAGTACGTTTTCCTACATTGTTGCACGCACATAAGTTGTTTTTGTATAGATGGTAAGGTTTAAACTGCGTAAAAAAGAAAAGAAAAGCACGGACCGACAGGAAGGATCAAGCAACACAGGACAAAGGATGACTTGCAAGGTTCATGCTTGAATAAAATAAATAGAAGACCGGAGCTATAGAAACACAATGTAACTCACATGCGTCACTTCCTCGCCCAATCGCATGAGTGGACGTCCCCCATCGTGGAACGTAAAAATTAAATAACGTTTTTAGATGAGGTCACTGACATCTGGCTAATGCAACAAAAGTCGCTTTTTTCAGGTTTTCATTTCTTTCTTTGCGACATAAAACACGGTAGGAAATCGGCTGGTAACGGAATAATATCACGAGTGCTCAGAATAATATTTTCTAAAAGTTTTGAGTAAACATTTAAAAGTATGGCAAAGCTGGACGTGCTGAACTTTTAGCTCCACGGACATATATTAAAATAAGAAACAGCGCGAAAGAAGTCGTCCAAGTAGAATGAGAATGAAAGGCTGCCCTTATTTGAATGCGCCGAGTAACTGGAGGACAGAAGGCGACGAGAATGCGCGGGTTCGTCAGAACGCCAAGCTAATCGAACCTTTAGACTTACCCTCTAATCGAATGATTAGTGGGTAGATCTAAAGCTTTGTTTCCGATGCACTCGTCGAACGGGTTCGAATGCGAAAAGCAAACGCCGGACGCCGGTGTTCCCCGTGTTAACGCGTTCGACGAGTGCTGTGATGACAAAGGCTGCTAGCTTTAGGTCTACCCACTAATCGCTCCAATCAGAGCTCGGCCTTCTGGCGTCCCGTTTCGTGTCCTCCTCTCCCTCAGCTTCTCGGTGCCTATGTGTAACCAACCAGCCCAACCGTTCATTTTGGTTTTACTAACACACAGATAGGGTTCCGTGTTTTATTTATTTATTTACACGAATACCTGCAGCGCCGTTAGGCATTACGGAGGGGGTACGGGAAACATTATGCAATAACGATAGATATTCATAAAATAGATAAACGGAACAACAATAAAACACATTATTAACCGCGGATACAGATTTGCAGTTTATCGTAAAAGAGATCATTATCAGTAATAGGCACAATTTCTTGCCTAAGTGTATTCCACTCTCGAACGGTTTGAACAAAAAATGAAAATGAAAAACAGTCAGTATTGTAACGAAATTCCTCGGCTTTTTTAGAAGGATCCCGTCTTGCAGATGCATAGTGTGGTTCAAAAATGTAAAGACTTCTTTCAATACCAGTCCGTCCGTAATATATGCTGTGAAATAATTTCAATCTCAAGCACTTTCTTCGCTCTTCAAGTGAATCCCAACCTAATCTGTTTTTCATTTTTGTACAACTTGTATAAGGGCTGTAATCACCTGTAACGAACCGTAATGCCTGGTTTTGAACGCGTTCCAACTTTTGTTCAAGGTACCTTTGTGGTGGGTCTCAGATGACACAAGCATACTCTAAAATTGGTCGAATGAAAGAAAAATATAATGTTTGTTTCACACTGCGAGACGTATTTTTAAACTTCCTGCGAATAAAATACAACATTTTACTAGCTTTAGCAACAGTGTTATCCACGTGATCATTCCACTTCAGACTGGACGACAAATGAACTCCCAGGTACTTATAATGTTCTACGCGCGCGGTCAAGTATCACATTTTTCAGTTTGTATTCGGTCGGATGAGATGTACTGCGAGAAAAACACATGTGTTTGCACTTGGAGATATTTAAGCTGAATAAAATCAAAAAAAAAAAAAAAAACCCAACTGTCGCCGGTAAAGTTTCAGTAAATTCAAATTTATTCGAAAAAAACTCAGAATTTCAGGACCCCAACGAGAAAATAAAAGGCACTATAGACGGTGTTTTACAAATAAACTCCATAAGAGCACATGCACGGTCGCTAGTCCTGAGGAGATCGTGACTTCAGTTTTCTTTCAAATCACAAACAACTGACAAAAGATTTTTGCCTTTCAGCTCGTCAAGGTTCCTCCAGGATAACGTGTCATAGCATTCGAGCTCTATTTATTTTATTTTAGAAATTTTAATAAACTGGTTACGCTTCGAATTTCAGAAAATTGGGAAGCTATCAGAAATATACTCGGGTAAACCTAATACTTTTAGCGAAAACTAAGCATTGAAGAACCTCCCCCGAATTTCACGATAAATAGCTAAAAAAACAAAGAATTTTACACAAAAGTTGCATCCGTGCTTTAGATTGGTTCTCTCATATAAGCATACTTCTTTCAGAACTGATTTATACAAATAAGGGAGTTAATGTAGTTTTTAGGACGGACTTCCGTTTAGACAGGCTTACTCCGTTTTCCTTCAGACGTGAGCGATGTTGCGGGAAAAAACACAGAGATCCCTCAGTCTCCTGTGTCACAGAGGTAGTCTACAAGATCCCCTTTGACTGTGGATTGTGTTATGTTGGTCAGACGGGCCGTTGTTTGAATGACCGACTTGGGGAGCATAAAAGGTGTGTAAAAAATTTGGCGCAGAATTCTGAATTGGTTAATCATGTTAGTTCTTGTAATTTTTGTTCCCCTCTTTGGGAAAAGACTTCTGTGTTGTGTAACGAAAAAGAATTGTTTAGAAGGCTAATTAAGGAGACTTTATGCATTCGCGAGCGGGGGAATTGTGTCAGCCAGCCGTCCTTGGTGATCACTGATCGAATGAAAGAGTTTTTGCTTGTTTGAAGGGAGCTTTGTAAACCTTGAAAAAGGCGGGGGGGGGGGGGGGGGGGACCGGGAAGCGTTTGCTTCGAGTAAGAAATTTGGGGGTTAGGCTTTAGCGGTTTGGAGGTCACCATGTGTGGTGACCGTGGGGTTGTTGTTGTTCGAGTGGTCGGCGCCCTTTCCGGGGTTTGTTGGAGCCGGGGAGTGGCTTAGGCCGTCTGGGGTGATCGCGGTGGCCGTCTTGTTTTTGCTTTTGAGTTTTTGTTGCCCTTTCTCTTTTCCTTTTGTGTAAAAGTCTATTTATTGGTATGCTTCTATCAATAAAACTTCAGCTGCGTTTGAGATTTTGTTGTGTTCGTCCGTTTTTTTACCGTTCCCCATCTCAGGGTTTACAAGATGACGAGTAAACATAATTTTTAATTTATTTCTAGACTGTCCACTGATTAGCATGGTACGAAAACTATTCCTTAGAATAATGTTTAAAAGCACAACTTTGGAGTAAATACAAAGTGGGGAGGGGCGAGGCTTTCGAGAGGGGGGGGGGGGGGAGGACTGTTGCTAGGGGAATTTAGATCGTGAGCAGTCACCCGGTAGCAGATGTCAAAGCCGCGAGTAATCGTACGCCAGTCACGCGACTCTAGAGGCCCACGTGACGATCTGCTTAGCGAGTACTGATTGCAAAATATGTGAGGAAGGCTCGAATTTTAGAGCGCAGCTCTTAGGGGCCCGTTTCCGGCTTGAGCGGCGTCGCCGTCGCCGTCGGCGTCGCCGTCGGCGTAACCGCGCGGTGCATCATGGGAAATGTCCCATAATGCACCGCGCGAGCCCCCCACCGGGGTCACGTGACCTCGTGGGGGGCACGTGACCCCCGAGATCACGTGACCCCTCGAAGTCACGTGACTCCCCTGAGGTCACGTGACCCCCTCCTCGAGGTCACGTGACCCCCTTTTCGAGGTCACGTGACCCCCGCCGATGACGTCATCGTCACTGATGACGTCACCGGCATCCACATCGTCATCGTCATCATCACTGATGACGTCACCGGCATCCACATCGTCATCGTCATCATCACTGATGACGTCACCGGCATCCACATCGTCATCGTCATCATCACTGATGACGTCACCGGCATCCACATTGTCATCGTCATCATCACTGATGACGTCACCGGCATCCACATCGTCCTCGTCATCATCACTGATGACGCCACCGGCATCCGCATCGTCATCGTCATCATCACTGATGACGTCACCGGCATCCACATCGTCATTGTCATCATCACTGATGACGTCACCGGCATCCGCATCGTCATGATCACTGATGACGTTACCGACATCCGCATCGTCATCGTCATCATCACTGATGACGTCATCAGTGACGTCACTGATGTCGTCACCGGCATCCGCATCGTCATCGTCATCATCACTGTTGACGTCATCAGCGACGTCACTGATAACGTCACCGACATTCGCATCGTCATCGTCATCATCACTGGGGAAGTCATCAGTGACGTCACTAATGACGTCATCGGTACCCGCATCGTCATCGTCACTGACGTCATCAGTGACGTCAGTGATGACGTCATCGGCATTGGGGGTCACGTGACCCCCAAGGTCACGTGACCACCCCCTGGTTAGTTTAACCCCCCCGTGCCCTTCCCTCCTCCTCCTCAAGAGCTGCGCTCTAATTCGGCGTTACAGGGAGTTGTAAGCGGCTTTCATTTTTTAGATAGTATTTCGATTCTGGCCATTCTTAAGCCTAAATAAACGCGATAATTGTCGGCATGGCAACGTCTTTAGAAAGTGGATTGCCTTGGCTCAATCGGCCGGGTGTTGATAGCTTACCCAAGCCAACGTTACTGGAGCAAGTTCAGTTTCGCAGCTCCCTATTCTCGCCTGCAAAGGCGAGTGGCCTAGGTGGCGGTCACGAGAACTAGCAGCGCTGCAGTCGGATCTTGCTTCCTTGTCTCGCGCGTCGTCTACTGCCACTGCGTTGAGAGCTCCCTTCTCTTTTTTGTTTCCAGTCAAGAAGTACATTAGGTGTACTTACGCTACCAGAAAGTTGATGTCGTATTGTTGATTTTCAACACCTTTTGACGTGATCCGCACAAATAGCTCGAATGTCGTGGGCTTGAATTTGTTGTAGAACTCCTGCGGAGGAGAAGAACGCTGGTCAACAGCGTGTCTGCGGAATGGCTACCTCGTAGCATTAACTTTAGTAAGTGCACCCAGCTCTGCAACCGGAGGGGAATGCCATCAGACAGACATAGAAAGTGACGTGCCTTTCCATCTTTGTCCGTTGGACTGTAGAACGAGTTGTGAGCATGCGTACGTAACTTTATTCTACGGAATATTACACGATACGCACGCTTTCACAGCGGAGCGACTCTGCATTTTTCGTCCGGATGCGTGAAAGACGCTGGAAAGGTGTACAACGTCGTTCTGGAACCCTTACCGCATAAAAAGTGCGTTGCTTAGCGAGGTCAAGAGTAGCCTCGTTCTCCCAATAGATGGAGACACCGGTGACGACCCCGAACCTGGTTCGCACCTCCTCGAGGACTTCTCGAAACCGCACGTCGTCTTGAGCAAGGTCGCCGAAGTGCTCGGATCGCAGGCCAATCAGCAGTCTGAGGCCGCTCGCCCTTACCGTGGGAACCCAGTCTGCTACAGCGTTCGCTGAAAATAACCAAAGCGTCACTCGATGGCTGAGCGAAATCGCATCTGCACGAGGGATCGAATTTTAATGACATAAGGGCAAAGACAGTTTTACAAAAGCCGCGCGCCTTTCGGAGCAAGTGTGCGACGTCAGACATGTGTCGTTATTATCTACACCAAGATGGATGTTTGGGCCAGTTTGTGAATACTTTTATAGGCTCTTGCACCTTACGTCACTTCCGGTTAGAGTCGAAATATAATTCAACATTGTCGTCTACTATCAGTGCCTTGGCGCCATGTTGGAGACACTCGGCATCTTATTGCGGCAGTAGTCGTGCCATGGAGTCATAAAGCCGTCGTGGTATAATCACATTTCAGAATTTTCGCTTGTCCTAGTCAATCGCAAAGGGGTTCCTCACTGCAGTTCATAAACCTTTAGTTGGAGTACGAAGCTTTTTTGTCGAGATCATAGAGTTAATATAATATTCTAGAGCGAAAGGTCTCGTGCATTTGGCCGCTTCGCAACGGCGGGGCATAGAAGCAGACATCGGCGGTCGCAGTTGGCAGTCCCGATGAGCCCATATTGCTGACGACGGCTTAATATGCACAAAGCAGTAGCAAAGCATCACCCGTAAGGTCTGTACCTTGTTTTTTTCCTCTTAATATGCATAGAAAACACCGAAATCTCGCATTGACAAAATAAAGAAACCTGACAAGCGCTCGAGCAACTTCAACTTGCCGCGGCAAAACGAACACGCCTAACCCTTCGTCTGCTTTTTTTCTCCACTCTTATGTCGCCTTCTTTATCATTCTTTCTCTAGAGACCGGAGATCTTAGCGCCCAAGATTTGCCGCGTTCTGCTGCCGTCTTTACCCGCCTGGTCGAGGTTGTGCCGGCATATCCGTCGGTGCCATTCATAATGCCAGCGAACCGATTGCTCGAGCGTCGACTTGTCCATTGTTCCTAATGATTTCTAGAGTTCTAGAAAAATCAATACTGCTGACCGTAGCTCCGTCGTCGCCGACTTTTACGGCTGGAACAATTCATTACGGCGCAACTGACCACTTTAAACCTCGAGTGAGCGGACAAACTACAGTGCGAACACAGCCCCAAAGCGACGAATGCCTCCAACATGAATTCCGGAGGGTACCAGTGAGATTTACAAACCGGTGGTAGGGTTTTGTGCAAGAACCCTATGTGGATGAACCGGTGAGATTTACGAACCGGTAGTAGGGTTGCGTCATGGTCTCGTGCAAGAACCCTATGCGGGGCGCAAGGTCGTCTGCTTCTTTTGCAGGGGTTATTGAGACGCCGGAACGCCGCACTTTGACTGACTTGATTGCAAGAATAGTGTTTAGACCTTAGGGCAGCTATCATTGAGCTCAACCCCTTATCCGTCCAATCGGAGCGAATAAGAGCTGGGCGTCACTTGCGGTCCGCATAATCAGTGATAACTTAAGAAATGCAAGTCATGGCGTGTCCGACTGGTGTGTTTAGCGTTTTATTCCGCCCATGCATCGAAAGTGGTGCCGAAATGGCACCAAATGGCGTCACAAAAGCGGAAGTGTCGTGCTCTCGGGCGTCGCGTTCCTGGCAGTTGGTGTAGCCTGTTCTGGCGAAGAGCAGGAGCGAACGCGAGTGTCGCTATCGTCGCGGCGTCCCAACTACTGGCTGTCGAAGCTTCCGTGAACTGTCACATCGGAGAGCGATCTGCAGCAGAACAGGCGTCTGTGACACCTCTAGGATCGCGGCCTGTGACACCTCTAGGATCGCGGCCGGCGACAGCATGACACTGCTATGATGTCATTAGGCGGAAATCGAGAGACCACTTTTTTTTTATCCGGTAAAGACACCATTCGAAAACGCTTCCCAGGCAACAGTTCGAAAGCACTATGACAATACGGCGTGCATGTTTCGTTTGCTCCTTGCTCACCAGGTGCTTTTGTTCACCCCTCAAATGCGGCCACGTGCTTTTGTTTACCCCATACCTCAGCCAATGACGGTACGTGCGCGCTTGGTTGCCTCGGCATCGCGCCTTCTCTGTGCCTCCTGCATGTTGGCCATTGTTCGACGTACTCTCCCTTGCATCCCAATGCGCCACAGACGCATTTTGTAACACTTGCTCGCCGTGTAGAAGAAAGACACGCAGCGCCTTTGTCTACCATTGTGGGTGTCTTCTTCATTGTCCCGCTCCTTTCGCGCGTTTGCTTTCTGTAATAATATTCATAAATTTGTTCTTCCCTACCAACGATGAAAATGATAATGGCACCCGTCTCCCGATGCCAGAATACGCCGTGCTCGCGTGTTTCCGAGAAATCGCTTTGTGGAGAAGTTGTGCGGTAATGACATAAAGCTAATGATTATGAACCTAATTTGGAATAATACATGAAAAGGTACATAAGGAATAGGCAAAACATTCAAAAATCGGCACTGTTATCCACTGACGAAGAAAGACTACGAACTCAAAAGTAGGTCGATGCGCTAAGATCTTTTTTTTTTTTTACCTTTTACAAGTGAAATTTGACACTGATGACTTCTTTCAGCTGCTCAGCATTAATGCATTATGGAACCAGATAGTTTAGGTAACGAGGCGCGAGATGCGCTGCTATATTTTTACCGTACACAGCCAGTAAATGTGAATAAAATGTGAGTTGTGATGGTTCCGAGTTCAGAGATGTCCCAGAAAGGGCTTAAAGCATAAGAAAAGACTTAACACTCTTAACTCAGAGCATTTCCAAAAGCTTCGCTGCAGCTCCGCCGGCCATCGTGTTATTTAAAGTATTTTGTTTGATAAGACAGAGTTGCATGTTATTCTGCATAAAAGAAGCGTAGGTATCATATCCTCTCGGATAGTATTTGGCCACAGTTAGTACCCGGCACTGTTCTCCACAGCCGCCTAGAATGAAGATGACTTTACTTGCAGCGCGTGAACTACCAAGGCCTATTTTTTCTCCGCTGAATTCTACCCCTTTCTCCAAAAATTGGTTTGCTGCTTTGTGCATCGATTGGAAGACGACTAACCAGACCGCAGGCTTGAACTCTCACTCCCCGTGGAAGCCTTGGAGCCTGGTCCAAGACGGTCTTGATTGTCATCTGCTCATTTGCAGATAGCGGAATAAAGCAACCTACCACAAAAGGGTAGCTACTTTAAAAGCCAAGCCCCGTTCTGGTGTCCCTTCTTCGGTAATACTAAATCACATTAACGAACAAACAAACAAATTGCCAAGAGACAAACCAAATATAAGGGTGCAAGTGAGCTGTTAACATGGAAAAGATGCCCGAAGTAGAATTACACTAACTCTACGTACCTCAGCCTCGGTTACCTTTAGTCATACCCTAATGAAAAATACACCAGGCAATCCTGGTGTGACATCAAAGAATCCTGATGTGACACCAGAATATCTGGTGTGCCCACCAGCGATGCTGATGTATCGAGCACACCAGCCTGGCGTGCCCACCAGAATTGCTGGTGTACCCGCACATCAGCCTGATGGGTACACCAAGGGAGTCTGGTGTCACATCACAAGTACTCATGCCCCGACCAGGCAGCCTGGTGTGCACACCACGCAGTTTGATGTGACACCAGAGTTGTGTTTTTGTTGACTTTTCCCCCCGGTCCGCGCGCGTGTTTTCTATTAGTTTGTACGCCGCTCCGTCCCCCGACGGGGTGCCTTGCTTCCTCCCGTCTTGGTGGTCGCCGGAGACCCCGCGGCGGGCTCCTTTGTGCCCAAGAAGTGTCCCCCTCGTCCCGAGCACTTTCCCGGGCGGCCTTGAGCAACTTGGGGCGCTCGCCGGCTCGCCTCTTCGAGGGTTTCTCTTTCCCTTTCCGCCGGTATTCTTGTTTAAGTTTGAGAAAGTGAAGAAGTCTTCTTTGTGAGTCGAAGCCGAAAAGATGTGTTGGTGCGCTTTCCTTACTTCCGACGAGCTTGGTTTGGTAGCAAAGCAACGAAGGAAGCTAGTAAGTATTACAGTTTTTGGGGCCGAAATGCCTACTACGTGCGAGGAGGGCGTCGACCGCTTGAAGCGAAAGAGGATTACCCTGCGAGCCGCCACAACAAAGATCATCAACGAGACTGGAGTCTGCTGGCCACGGATCCAACCGACATCGGTGAGCCCGAAGAAACATTTGATATTCTTCTACTTAAGGAGGCTTCCCTGAAAGAGCTGGACAAGGAAATCGAGCTATCTGTCGAATATGATGCCTTAGAAGAGGAAATTTCTGGTGCGGAGGGGTACGCGGAACGGATCAGCGTAACTAAGACACGAGTGAACCGCAAGCTGAAAGGCCAAGAATTTTGGAACGACAGGGCGTCCGGTTCTTCGACGCAGGGCAGTGGCTCCGGACAAACTCCAGTTGATCACGGCCAACTCCCTACAACAGTAAAGCTTCAGAAGCTTTGCTGTTGTGGTTTTTTGCTTTTTTGAATAAAGTAATTATGGCAGCAGCGTTGTTGTCAAACTTATCGTTGTACGCTTTTTTGTGAGTAAAGCAACACCCAGTCAACAGGTGGTCTGGTATCATATTACAACAAAACCTGATGTCCCGCCAGAACACCAGATTTCTGGTGTAACATCAGAACACCAGATTTCTGGTGTCATACCCACACATCAGATTTCTGGTGTCTCAACAGAACAGCAGGTTTCTGGTGTCACATCAGAAAATGTCCCAAATCACATCTGTGAAAAAGTCTGGTGTAACATCAAGTCACACCAGCCCTCGAGCTGGTGTATTTTTCACTAGGGTACCAACAAAACAAACTATGTTAAATTTCAGCTGAGAAAAGATAAATTTTGTGCGTAGTCCGTGCGGAGCGCGAATTAGCTCTTACAAAAATTGATTGTCAGAGAAAAAGAAATATCGTTGCTTTATGTGTTCGCGACGTGTATTAGCGACTCCAGCGAAGTCGACGCAGCGTAGCGGCAACGCCGAGAATCTTGAGAGACGAGGTCGTTTAGACTCTGTCGTCTGCTATCGCTACTTGGTTCTCGTAGGCAGCATAGAAACAAACATCGTTTCCAGTAATTATTTTTATGCTTCCGCCGTGTTTGTTTCTACGCACGGACTAGAAGAATTGGTTTCCACCGTCGAAAGTCGCCTCGCTTTCACATCTAACACCGATTTTACGCTGCAGTGCAAGATATTTATGGTGGTCCGCATGCTGAACGACAAAAACGGCCTCCTTTCGTCCGTCATTTTGCTTAACCGTCGCGCCGCCTATAATTCGCTGGAGTCGCGAATACGTTTTGATGAGCTAATAAAACACTAATTCGTAACGCCCCAAGGGGAGTCGTATATTTTTATGACTACCATAGTTGTTTACAGCGGAGCTGTTAAGGGCTAGGTTCCCGAGGATCGTGTCCGGTATGTCGACACAAACCTACCTGGACAGCTACCGCCATCTATAAGCGACGGCGGCAAGCACACAACCAGTCTGGTTTCCGCCGTAGCTCGTAGATGGAGGCAACCTTTCTAGCTATCATAGAAGAATTGATAGTTGGGCGCGTTGGTGGGAATTAATCGTAGGAAACAGCGCGAAAAACAGACGACGATGAAGAAGACGCACACGTAACGAGCTCGTCACGTTTGTTTCTTCGTCCTCATCTGCTTTGCGCGCTGTTTCCCTAGTGAAAAATACACCAGGCCGAGGGCTGGTGTGACTTGATGTTACACCAGACTTTATCACAGATGTGATTTGGGACATTTTCACACCAGCAATTTGGTGTTCTGGTATGACACCAGAAATCTAGTGTGCTGGTGTGACACCAGCAATCTGCTGTTCTGGTGTGACATCATGTTTTGTTGTAGTGCGATACCAGAGCACCTATTGACTGGGTGTTGCTTTACTCACAAAGAAGGGTACAATGATAAGTTTGACAATAATGCTGATGTCATAATTACTTTATTGAAAAAAAGGAGAACAGTAAACTTTCGGAAGCGTTACTGTTGTAGGGAGTTGGCCGTGATCAACTGGGGCTTGTCCGGGGCCACTGCCTTGCGTCGAAGAACCGGACGCCATGTCGTTCCGCAATTCTCGGCCTTTCAGCTTGTGGTTCACTCGTGTCCTAGTTACGCTGGCCGTCCACGTACCCCTCGGCGCCACTTATCTCCTCTTCTAAAGCATCATAATCCACAGATTGCTCGATTTCCTTGGCTAGCTCTTTCAGGGAAGCCTCCTTAAGTAGAAGATTATCAAATCTTTCTTCGAGCTCACCGATGTCGGCTGGATCCGTGGCCAGCAGCACGCCAATCTCGTTGATGATCTATCTTTGTTATGGGACCCCGCAGGGTATTCCTCTTTCGCTTCAGGCGGTCGACGCCCTCCTGGTTCGTAGTAGGCATGATCTGGCCGCTAATTCCCGGGTTTCGGCACCAAAAACTGCATATTTGTTTTTGTTGTTTTGCTACGAGACCATGTCTAACTATCTTTAGCTCGTCGGAAGTCAGGAAAGCGCACCAATTCTTTTCGGCTTCGACTCACAAAGAAGACTCCATTATTTTCTCAAACTTCGACAAGAATACTGGCGAAGAGGGAAAGAGAAACCCCCGAAGAGGCGAGCGCCCCAGGCTGTTCAAGGCCGCCGGAGAAAGTGCTGGGGACGAGGGGGACACTTCTTGAGCACAAAGGAGCCCGCCGCGGGGCCTCCGGCGAGCACCAAGACGGGAGGAAGCGAGGTATCACGTCGAAGGAAGGGGCGTCACAAAAACTAATCATAAATACGCTCACGGACGAAGTCAACAAAAATGCAACACTGGTGTCACATCAAACTGTGTGGTGTGCACACCAGGATGCTTGGTGGGCACATGAACCCGTGTGGTGTGACACCAGCCTCTCTGTTGTGCCCATCAGGCTGGTGTGTAGGTACACCAGCCTTTCTGGTGGGCACATCAGGCTGGTGTGCTAGATACACCAGCATTGCTAATGTGCCCACCTGGCTGGTGTGCTCGCTACACCAGCATTGCTGGTAAACACACCAGATCTTCTGGTGTCACACCAGGATTTTCTGATGTCACACCAGGATTGCCTGGTGTATTTTTCATTAGGGATTCTTACGATCCTACGCTCTTATCAGTTTTGGTTTAGACTTACGATGGCTCGGCCGCGCGCCCTTCCGGGGAAAGAAGAAAGGCTGCGAAAGGAGCGGCGACGTACGCAGCAGCGCGAATGGGTCCGCAACCGCCGCAAAGCCGCTGTCGCCTCGACTTCCACTGCGTCCAGCGCTTCAGATTCCCTTGCCAAAGAGCACATCGCTCGCCTGGAAAGCCGCCGCCGAGGACAGAACCAGCGATGTAAAAGGCGCCGGCGGGCCAACGCCACGGACGGCGATCGTGTCACGGAGGCCAAACGCAAGCGCGAGGCCCGGCGACGACTGCACTCCACGCCGGATGAACAGTTCCCGGGTGCGACGGCAAGGTTCCGGAGGGACTTCGTGGAGAACCCGTTTGGCGTCGCGTGCGCCGTGTGCGGCCGACTCTGGTTCGCCGTAGACGTATCCACGATCGGCGGCGTGTCAGACGAGAAGAAGCGGGAATCGGGCGCGTGCGCGTTGCGGCAGTGTATCGAGTACAGCTCCGCTGGTCTTCCTTCTTCACGAGAATGAAAAGGCTCCCTATTGAAAATTCCATCAAGCTACGTAATTTGGGACACTGACTGCCAGTCAGCAGCCTTGGTGGAACGTGATGGACCATCAGACGTCATTTGATGGTCCATCAGATGACGTCTGACTGCCACTGCCAAGGGAATGTCACCATCAAGGGCAGCATTTATATAAGAGTAAAGCTATACGCACTCATAAATATCGCCAAATGCCTCGATAAAACAAAATGTTCAAGAAAAAGAAAAAAAAAAAAAAAGCAGGACCACCGCGGATCGAACCCGCGACCGCTTGCGTACAAATCGGACATATTAACCACTATGCCACGACACCGCTATAGAAACTCGATTTCACTATCCGTTTTATACTAGATGCTTCGGCTGCAAATGCAGTCAAGCCGTCAGCATGTTATGAAAGCACTCGTACATCACTCGCCGTACTTTAGTTCTACTCACCTGCCATGTAGAGTACTTTCGCGTCGTAGAATGATCCTTTTGTTCGCGCGTCATCGGCCCAGTAGACCTGGTACACCTTGTCGTCTTTAACTACACCGCTAAAGTCCCTTACATCGTCGGAACTCACAACAGGCTGGGTCTTGTCGAGTAGAAATTCTACTAAAACATAAGACATTGTAGAGCCCGGGCAGGGTCGACAGGTTGGAGCAAGCGGGCAAACAAAACGAGTCGAGAGCGATCGTTCATGAAAGCTCGGCGAAGCCTCCATGGGCGAAGCGAAGTGCGAAGTGTCGTATTCGACGCTTCGGCGGCTTCGGCGGGCTTCTGATCAAGGTTGTCGGTCGGTTGCGTGTCACATCTCTAACGTCAGCGGTTTTATGGGCTCACGTCCCGAAATCGTTTTCTCGTGCATAGATTACTTTTCGTATTCATAGATTTGACGAAATAGTGGTATCCGAACGAACTTTACGTCCTTTGACCGTACTTCTGTCTGCACGTCAAAGCTTTCTGACGTACAGTCAGAGACAATCGATGTACAGTCAGAATCACCACCAGGACATCCTGATGGCATTTCGCGGCGGCCGACTGCCACCAGGAAACCATCAGAAAGCCGACAAGCGGGGTCTGACTGGAGTTTGACTGTCGGTCAGAGTAACTTGTTGTCCAATCAGACATGCTTGACGTACAGTCAGGCACAGTCAGCGGTCCACTAGAAAACATTGACTGCCAAACAGCGTTACATTGATGGATTTTTCCTTCGGGCTGAACGTTTTTTATTTAACTTTTCTGAGGTGAAAATGAATAAACTAATCTAATGAATGTCCCAAGAAACATTTCGTGCATCAGTGGCCCCTCTGGATCACCTAGCAGCTAAAAACAAAAAAAAAAAAATAGAAATCTGTTCAAACTATGAGTAAATGTGCCATTAGTATTTACAATTAATGAACGTTTTTAGCTAACTTTCGCAGATTGTACATGTATAGCTTAGCCTCGAAATCATTTAAAAAAAAAACTGAAATCGTTTAAAAAGAACCATGTATGAATGGTGAACTCTCAATTAAATCCCATGATCAAAATCGCAAAAACTATTTTCACCGTCATATTTTTCTTGGTGTGACATGAAAAGTGACCACCGGAGGTACCATGAATGAAGACAAAAAGGTTTGGGTGTTGGAAGTCGTGATTTCAGTGCGGTTCAAAGGCGAAGCCGTGAAAGTAAATTCGAAAGGCAGGGTTCTTTCTGGTTTGCACATAAAATGGTGACTTAATAATGTGCGTGTTTTCTTTCAAGAAATCGAGATCATGGTCGGTATTGCCGTACGCAGTTTGACGCCGGGATGAGGTGGGGGAGCCTGGCGCGACACGATGTGTTTGGTGGCGTCCAGCTCGAAGCCGTCGAAGACAATGTGGCTGCAGCACTGGGCGCAGAAGTCGGACAACACAAAGGAGCTGAGGGAGCTCAGGGTCGGGTCGTAGTAGCAGAGGATCAGCTGCGGCTTCTTCCCCGGTTTCGGCGAGGCTGGGATAAGACGAGACAACACGCAGGTTACGTTACAACGGTGGCTAACCGACGGACAGTCAGCTAAGCGCGGTCAGCCCCGTGAACACTATACTTCGTCTCATCCTCCGATGGACTAAAGGCCGAAGCCACGGGCCGCCGGGTCCAATCACGTTCCACGCTAAACTATGACACGCTTAGCATTGACGAGGTTTGGACGAATAATGCTCCGAATCCAAAAACGCTGCGTCATTTTTATAGCTTCGACATTGCAAAGAGCCAGTACGTCCTGGCTTTCTTTGCAATGTAAAATTGTTGAGTCACTCATTGCTCGATTCGAACCACTGTCCGCCCATTCCCATCAGTTATCCGAGACGTGGGCACTGATACGTGCATCAAAGCGAAATACCACGCAATGTCTAAGTGGTTCGTGATTGGATCTGGCGGTTCGTAGCTTCTGCCTTTAGTCCATCGTAGGGTGAGACGAAGTATAGGAGGCCTATAAAAGTTTCAGCGTCATCAATAGACGAACTGAGAACATGTACGGCAGCAAAGACACTGAACTAGCGCGAGGAAATGCATTTGATTGAAACACAACATTAAAACATAATAGGTTTTGGCGATATTGGTGGGAATCGAAGTTATTGCATCGGCCGTAATGGGACATAATCGTGACAAATAAGCCCATACTATATCTAAAAGGTGCATTAAAGACATAACGAAAATATGCCAGAGGTTGTATCTGCTTAAGTTAAGTATGGTTGCGACTTTACATTCGAGAACGTGGAGACGTCAGATTGATGCTGGCAGGAGCAATACTTACGGGTAGAAACATTACCTGCAGCATATTAAAAATGAAGGACAGGAATTGTGTCAGGGAGTCAGTCTTAGATTCGGTACGTATTTTATTGTACAAAAAGAAACCAATTAACAAATTTGTACACTAGCTACCATGTAGAACACGGAGCGCCAATCATTGTGGTCTTGAACTCGGGGTAATGGAATCATGCGAGCCTCACCATTGGTTCGCATTTTGTTTTGCGTACTAATATGCTCTGAACGATATTTAGTTGTTTAAACTGTAGTTTAGAGATGTTTATTGTCAGGGCTTGCTTGATATTTGCCGTACCTATATGTGCACAAAAAAAAAAAGGAAACAAAAAGAGAGTAAAAAAGAAAAAGAAAAAAAGAACGGATAGCATTTATAGACACTTTACACACGCGGCAAATTACAGCCGCCATAGCTGACCTTCTCTTGTCTTACCGAGATGCCGATCAACTGAAACGGTAGTTGACGATCCTCTACAAAGGCCGATGCTTTAAAAAATGACACAGTTGAGTCCAATATGGAAATAACCTGGCCTGCTATGGTAATGATGAAGTGAAATAAAGGAAATAAGAGGAAACAAAAACTGAAGGTCAGTTATGGCGGCGTCCATGCACAGCTGCTGCAAAGCGTCTATAGACATTGCATCGATATTGTCAACTTCGGAACGATCGGCGGCTCTTAGTGGTTAGATAAGAAAGGAGTCGCGGCGGGTTCCCTCGCCACTTTTCTCAAGCAAATCACATATACGCACAGTGCCTGATGGTTTAAAGGCGAAGCTGCGAAAGCAGGTTCGAAAGCACGGGGCGAAAATCGGCAAATCCCAATGTCAGCTGGAAGCGTTAGTATTCAATGCATTTGGGTTTCTCATTTTATGCGCGTGATTCAGAGTGTGACCTTTCACCGTTGGTGAACATGCTCGTGCGTGGCTTTCTAGAAAAGTGTCCAGTTTAGAAACGAGCGAAAGTGACGTCACAGGACTGACTCAGCCATTTGTCACGCCCCGTTGATCGGTTTCGCCATGTCTCGCAACCGCGGTTTGTACATCATTGAGCTAGATCAACCTGTAGCCGCCAAAAGGAAACAACAGATCTCTCCTTCGCATCTGGATAATAGTCGTAACCTGAAAGACAGGTTACGCCGGAGTTTCGAATTGTATGTAGACATTTTTAAAACTATACATTGTAATAAATTGCGATTTAAGTATCGAGTATAGAGGAGGTGTTTCTTGATATATTCCTCACATGAGAGCTATACCTGTCCTTATAAACGCGCTAAAGAAACCGCGTAACAATCAAACTGTAATGCACACAAGAGGGAAATTAGCTGTTGTTTGAACATAAAAAAAAGACGATATCAGTAAAAACTTAGAACACGTAATTAGAACACCCGAAACGCCCAAGGGAAGGGCTGGGAATAATTTCAGAGTATACTTTGCGATTTTCTACGTATAGCCGAAATGTCACATTCACGGCGCATACAACCCACTATGCCGTTGCTAGATTGCAAGCACTTCCACCAGGACTTTATCATATTCAACATCCGGGTATTCGCAGACCTCTGCCGTTGCCACGAAGCCAGCCTAGGTTTAGCTTATAGGTATACAGTATGCTATATGCTGGCACAGCCTCCTATGATGCTGTGCACCATCACGCCGAATAGTCGAAAGGATGTTAGAGATTTTTGTGTTTTCACTTTAACACATCGGCGTAAATTTGTTCAATTTTCAGCGAAAGCATTTAACACCTGCGGTTTTTACCAACTCATAAGGTCTATTTTGAGGCACTCTTCATTAATAGCAAAGGCACAAAGCTTCGACAATTTTCCGACATATAGGCAAACTCTCAGGGATGCCGTATTGCTTTCGTGTATGTTTTTCCTGTTTTTGCGCCGCATAGGAGAGTTTCATCGTTTCTGTATATTTGACAATGTCGCCAACTAGAGCTTAAAAGAATCAATTCAATAACATTTCCTTTCCTTCCACAGTAGCCGCCGGCATGACAGAATGAAATAGGTCTTCCTGCGTTCCTTTTTATTGACCGAATCGCTTAACTGAATTTGAAGTATTCACCAACTCATGTTTACAAACAAACCGGAGCGCCCCTAGCGGATGCCACCGGCGCCGCACACGAGCGATGGGGGTGTGGGCAAGAAGCTCGCCGTCGCCCATAAACAAACCACTGAAATGCGATGTTGTCGGCGTCGGTGTGAGCCCCCCTGCCCCTTTCCGCGTTGGAATTGTTGGTTCTACGTCTTCCTGGCGATGTCTTACTATCTTGAGCGGCGCCAGCGAAATTACCGAGACGACAAGCAGAAACGTTTGAAAGAGCAGACGACAGTTCGAACGATCAGGCGGCCGTTTGAGCTTGAAGACGCACTGAGCGTAGTCCGCAAGTGGTCCGCACAACTTGACAATTTTTTGGCGTTCATGTTGGAACAAAACAAATAAATCTGATGACCACAAGTATGCGTGAATTCAACCCAAAGTGCTACCCGCCCAAGCAATCGTTGTCCGACGGCGTCTGCTTTTCCCTTTTCACGGCACCTATCCAGATTGTTGGACGAACCGTGCACGTGAAAACGGACCTTCAAACCTTTCTCGACACTTTTGGTACGGCCCCCGTCGCGACGTTTTGACGAGAAGGCAGTTTTTTTATTTGGTTCCTTTCAAAACAACGCAGGAATGCACGTCTGGCATGGGGACTTCTGCCCACAGCCCGAGACCGGAAGTGCGACCACCGCCGCCACCGTCACGTCAGTACGCCACCACCGCGCCGTGACGTAACAGAGCTGAATCGGCAGCCCGGAACCACGGACGCCATCTTACGCGTCATTCCGGCGAAGTAGGCGATGATTCCAAGAAGGATCAGGATCACAGCGAAGCCAACCAGTGTCGCGTAGATCATCCAGGTAATGGACGTAGCGTCCCCGTCGTCCCTGGGCGCGCCGTTATGAGCAATCGCTCTTGGTGTTCTTCACGACGCAGGGAGTACACTTCTTGGGGCCCGCAGATACACGAGCGGTAGACTGGGCGACAAACTAATCTCCGACGTGAACGTAGACACCACACCGCCAATCTTAATTACATGTACACTTGCTTTAACAAAAACTAACGTTTGAAAGAAAAAAAAGAAAAAAAAGGGAGGTACAATTACGTGGATGCCGTTTTTATTGAATGTATAGGAGGCTCGGTGGAGATTAGTTGGGAAGATAACCATCATGATCAGAAGGCTAATGAACTAAAATCGGTTAATTACGTGTTTAATTGCATGTATGCGTCCTATTGCAATTGCAGCATTGACGGCAATTACTATTAAAGTCCAGACCAATTTTAATATTATTCTGAGGAGGTAATGCTTTTTGTGATACCAAGCGAACTGTTTTCGCATTTTTTCATCCGATTTAGAAAATGCGGCCGCGAAGAGCGCCGCAAGCATTGCCCGCAATGGCGTTAGCAGGAGTGACATAGTGGTTTTATTCACGTCGTCACAATCTCGGCAGCACGTCCTTGTTGGATGCGCCAACGAGACTCCGCCGAGACAGTGACTACGCGAATGAAACGACTATGAAACTCGTGGGCGTTATTTCCAGCGCTCTTCTCTGTGCTTAATTTTTAAATCGGGCGAAAAAAAAAAAAAACGGAAACGTATAAATAAATTAAAAAAAACTCCCGTTAACCTTGTACATTTGCTTTAAGTTGGTCCGGCTACTACTATAGTAATTACCGTCAATACTGCTGAGGAATAATACAATGAACGTGAACAGGAAACTAACGCAGACCTGCCGTTTCATACTAAATACGCCCGATTACACCAGGTTTGCAAACAATCATATTTGTCGCGCCATTACTGTTGGACAGTTGCTGCACGCGTTTTTGTATGTGTGTGTGCGGGGGAGGGGATTGTTTATTGGCAGTGGACCGGGTGTCGCAATACTGCTTCCCGGACCCTCGCTGACTTACAGCAGTGCGTCTTTATAGACCGACACGCGGAGCGGCTCTGTTTACCAAAACGGCCGGAAGGCTGCGCATGCGCGGTAGCTATGTGGGCAAAAGCGGCCCGGCTCTCCGTGTTATCGCCATTGCGTTCTATGGCGTGCGCTCGTTGTTGACGTTGTAGGGACGCTTGTAGCTTTATTTGTGCGTCGTATTCCCCGACAATGTATGTCGTATGCTATGCACGACTATTTGAGCTCGCTACTCGAGCCTGAATGGCAGCAGTATCGAGACAAACTGTGCGTGGAAGGCGTAAACAAGGCCTACCGAACTTCCGACGTGAAGCTGCTGCCATTAAAGTCGACGGCTCACGTCGTCGTTTATTTAGTTTTTTCGCCAAGCCAGTTAGCGGCTGACACGGTGCAGGCGTACGAGTCTCTCGAGGCCTACGATCACTTCGAGTCGGTTTCCGCACTGCCGGCGGGATCCACAGACTGTGAGTCTGCGGAAGTGTATTTATTAATTGATTAAATGCACACAGTGTCTTCAAGTCAAGGTATGATATTTTTCCTACTCTCATGACCACAAGGCATGACAAGCAGTAACGCTTTGTCCGTTCTGCAGTCTTGGCAATACCACGTTACAAGTAACGGCGTTGTCGGTAACGCATTAGTTTTTTTAAGTAACATAGTAACCTACTCGTTACGTTTTCGACACAGTAACGGGTAACATACTTACGTTAGTATTTCAAGTAACGTAATTACGTTGCTACTTCCCAAGTCTTAAAGAAATTACACTTAAATGTTTTCCCTGTTTTAGGCGTCAAGCCATGTTTTTCTTCGCGTTTTTTTTTCGTGAGTATTTAGGTGAAACTGTAAAAAAAGATAAAGTAATTATGTTCAGTTTCTGCATTAACATAATGTTTCTTGATTTATGAGCTTATGCATACCTGTATCGTCAAAACGGTAAAATGTGTAAAACCATAATTTAAAAAGTAACGCAGAAGTAACGTGCGTTACTTTTCATCGGTAGCGGTAACGCGTTCCTTTTATTTTTAGGTAACGTAGCTCGGTAACGCATACCTTTTATTTGCAAGTAACGAGTAACGTAATTCGTTACTTTTTGTCGGTAACGCCTAGAACACTGCCGTTTTGTCGCCGATCCCCTTCTGCTGGGCAGCACGGGCGTAGCGAGCCTCCGACGAGCGCTTGGCCGATGCTTTGTGCGCGAACACCGCGGGAACAAAATCCGGGTGGTCTCGATCAGACGACGGTTTCCCTACACATAAGCAAGCCTCGGAACGGAGTTTGAAATGGAACCCGCACTTGCCTTCAAGAAACTGCTTGCCGCACAAACGGTCCTTCGTGCAAGGCCACCATTCTTTTCGATATAAGGATATTATCCACCTTCCGCGGCTTTCAGAGTCAGCCGGGAACTTGTGGAAACTCACTCGCCACTTTTTTTCTACCTTTCGGTGCAATTAACGGCAACACAGCTTCGCGGCATGCTGAAATGCTATGACACCCATGCGAAACGTGCGGCCTTTTGCCCATACGACCCGGCTCCGGCGCGATCGCAGCGCCGCCGCAGCTTCGTGACGTCAAACCCTCGTGTCGGTCTATAGGACAGCAACTTTCTAAAACTTCACGAAACGTACGCAGGCCGCATCCTAGCGAGGCGGTTGCATTCGCCCGAGTAGTGAGCTTCTCGAGTCGGTACTAAACTTCGGTGCCAACTCCGAGAAGCCAAATCGCATGCGCAGCAATCGAGTAACGAGCCGACAAAAGGAGGAACCCTTGCTGTGACTTACACGCGCAGATCGGCGCCGGAAACTCCATCGAACTCGTCCTTCTCGAACCAGGAACGGTCAATGTTCGGGAACAGAATGTAACTGAAACAAAACACACGCAAAAAAAGACCGAGATAACGTCCCGGTGTATCGCGAACTGTTAATCCCTCACAGTTCGCTCGTTTCGGGTTGATGACATTCCTATCGACCGGAGTGACCTCAGGGCATGGGCGTAATATTGGCATCAAATCGCTGGCCACGCGTCTGATCTCGCTCCAAGAGGCATCGGGCAGTGTCGACGTACCTACTTAGGATGCAGAAAGCAATAGATCCAATATACATTCCAACACTCGCCTACGAGTAGGAGATCTGTTTTCGGAATTTATATATATATATATATACATATACATATATATCTATATATTTTTTGTGTAAGTCGAAGGCTGTTTTTTGGAGCTTTCGTATCTTTTACAGAACACTCGGAAAATTTCTTTTGTGCTTTTAGCGCCATTGGCTAATGTATATATACAATAACAGCTGTTTGCGAGTTCAGTAAAGTAATCATACTTGTCCAACAGGCTTTAATTTGTTGAAAGTGTGGGGGAAATTTCTAGATTTATTGAAGTAACTTCCGGTGTGCACCAGGGCTGTTTTAGGGCTGATGTTATTCTTGCTTACATCAGTGCCATAGCAGATTCTATTCATATCTTTGTTCAAGTCCTCCTTTTCCCAGTCGATTGTCTAATGTACACGAAAGTGAATTCACGATGTCACCAAATGTTAATGTATGAGCCATTAATTAATCTGCACGAATGTTGAAAAAAAAATAGCGTACGAAAGAAGATAAATTTTTAAAAGTCCACCTGTGTAACGGTTAAAAGAAAAAAAAGTTGTTTACTAGGTTTGTTATACTCTTATTGGTGTAACCTCGCAACAATACGAAACTTTTAAATTCTTAGCTATACCAATTTCTAACGATTTGAACTGAATGAATCATGTAGACAATGTGTCTACCACTGCGTTCCAATAACTTGGTTTATAAGAAGGGCAACTAAGAATACGAAACGTGCAGTTAAATTATGTGCTTACAAGGCCCTAATTCATTCATCTCTAGAGTACGCTCATGGAATCTGGAATCCACATGTGCATTACCAAACATATCAACTTGAACGTATTAAGCGACTTGCAGTAATATTGTATTCTGAATATCGTGGCAAAAAATTTAAAACAGAATTAAAAAAAAAATGCCGAGCTACATACGAAGAAAATTTGGAAGTCTGAAATTTTTCTACCAGTAACAAGTATTACAGTATCAGTTCGATTGACTAATACACTTTCCTGGAAGTAGGTTGGCCAGACTTAAAACAATCAGTTTGCAGTCAAGCCGTGCTGTCCAAACCTTGATGTTTTATAAGTGTTTCTTTCTGACAAAAACAATTGAGGAGTGGGACAGTTTGGAGGGCGACCTTTCCTTGTGACTGACAATTCAGTGAATTTTGAAAAATGTTACATGATTTGTTTTCAAAGACGGCCATCGTTCTCTTGAAATGGTGTTGGTGAGATGACTTCGTGTGCGTTCCTGTTTGTGTGGGAGAACGTCTGGATGATGATTGTATTTGTTTGTGGCTTTGGTTGCTGTACGGTTCTTGTTCTTTTTTGCTGTTGTGTTTTCTTAAAAAAAAAAAAGGAAATTACGAGAAAGCCCGAGAGGGTTCTCAGTTGTAAACAAATAAAGAATAAACAAAAAACTGCCTGGCCGCTTGCTCTAGCTGCGACTTAAGGGGGTGAACCCTGCAAGTTTTTTATAATTTGTTTAGCGTCTGCTATTGCGTGGAGAAAAAAAAATTAATGTGTGTTCTCTAGGTTATGAATGTCAAGGACAAACCCCGAGTGGTGTGCGACGAAAGTAGAAACATCGTTGGGCACCGCCTTTAAACGCACATGAGCTCGCGCAACACAGGTGGCGATGTTTTTATAGCCTATCAGTGCCTCATCTTTGCCACAGTAGAATACATCAAAATATTCTTGCTCTAAGGCGGCAAAAATAAATAAAAAAAAAAATTGGAGGAAATTTTTTTTATCGTCGTTGCGCCGAACTTGAGAAAAGCAGCATTTTACGATTTGCCACGCAAGACAAATTTCACTGCTCGGTCTGATAAGCGATGAAGAGGCTCTCCAATGGCCGGTCGAGACGAATTTACTCCTTTTGCAGGCCGTTTGTGAGCGTTTCAAACAAATAAACTAGTCAGTGAGGGTGAGACCCAATCACCTTATTACCGCAGCCAGTGTGTACTCCACCATTGGGTGATAAGAATGCCGAAAGACCAATCAAGAGGCGTAACGATCACAAGCCTCGCCCTGGGTTTCTTAAACCGACACGATCATGGATTTCAGGGAATACTAAACGTCGATTGAGAATAGCGCTCGCTCCCGGGCTCGGCGCGCTTCGGAGGAATTCCCGTGTCGGTCCTTGCGTCAAGCGTATGCATCGATTCTCTATGACTGATGTGTTGGACGTAAATCTTCTTTGGCGGGGGAGCCTCAACGAGGAGATGATTTGTTTCGCCAAGCACGAGTGTTACTGAACCCGGCGAACAAACAAGGTGATACACACCAAAGCGAGCCTTGCGGCCCCGGTTTTTTTTTTTCCAACGCAGTTTACGGGTGGCTATAAAACTGGCCGGCTGAAACGCTCGAGGTCAGGAACACGGGTCGTCTGCGCTCACCCAACGACGTGGGCTTACGCTCTCAATCGATAGAATTACAGTTCAACAACACGCCGGGGACTAAGAGCTTCAGGGGGAAGCTTCGAAAACGAACGCTTCCTGCCCTCGCCGTCCAGTAATGCGCTCGCATCTGAAACTAGTGGTTTAAAAACATTTAAAACTTTCGGATCACAAATTAGCTGTCCTATGAGAAGTAATTACATATTGGCTCACGATAATGGAGTGAACTACTACTAGTTTTGTTCATTAGTTCCGGTCCCATGCACAAACTAGACGCCGCGCGGAAGTTGGGGTGACCTATAATTCCCGTACCCTGTTGCTTCGTAAAAAGGCCGCAGCTTCAATTTAGGATGACGTTTAGCTGAACTCGCGTTCAGCTAACGTCCAAGCGAAGTTACTAGATTAACTTACTTGTGGAACGCCCTAGAACGAGTTACCCTCCTCCCCCACTAAGGGTCTTCACCTGTTGTTTGAAGCATTATCTAGAAGCTGCGTTTTAAAACTGTGTATAGGATGAATGTATGGATGGATGAGGCTGAGCCCTTTGAATCGGGTGGCGGCTTGCGCCATCTAGCTTGTATTTTTTTTTTCTGTTAAGCATAAAGATTTATATCTACAAATTTATTCTTAAAAGCTATTTACAATCCGTACGACGGAGGCGCCTTATACAACCGGGTGCACACACCTTCCACCTATACGGGTCACCCGGAAAGGAAAGATAAAATATTCATCCTTCCATCGACCTACTGCTGTACAGTGAAGCACCACCTAGACGCTGTGTTTCAAAACTTGTGTATTACAAAGAACACATTTTAGGCGCCACAGCTGCCGTCCTTAAATAGGTGGCGCGTCGATTGAGGGGAGGAGGGGATTGGCATTACTCGTAAAATCAGCATTTATGGGCAGTTTCGTTACAAAATTGACAATATAGTAGTGTTCCATCTAAGCTATATGGTCATTATTCACATACAACCCCCCCCCCCCCCCCCCCAAATAAATAAAAAGGCAAAAAACGCGAGTTTTTTTTTCAAATCCTCTGCCACCATATCAGCTATTGTACAGAGTCTGGATGGGATTTGGTTGGCCTCCATCGTCCACTGGCCGACGCGCGCTGGGTAGGGTCGACGATCCCCTAGCAATGACGTCGTGCGCAGGCCTTATCTTTTACGTGGTATTGTCCCAGAGCGCGCTCAAAGAAGCTGTTGAATTCGCCACGGGTCTCTTCTTGCTACTTAATAATATTACTTTTTTTCTTAAAGCACACCAAGCTTTACTGGTGGCCGCCATATCTTGTTCAACACCTCCTGCGCGAGGCATGCGATTGAATCCGAGTTCACAGCGCGCGCTGACGCAGCACTTGTGTCCAATCATAGCCTCCTTTATAATCACAAAGCCTGGCAGTTCGACGGCGAGGACGTAGAGTGCCGGTTGCAGATTTGGAGCACGAGGATCTGGTAGCAGAGAGCATTTCTCGGGGAACCTTGTATTCAGCGCACAGCTTTTGCAGCGGCGAGAACCCGAAACATGATTTTCAAACCCGACGAGAAAAGAAGGGGTAGCGCGAGGAACATGAAGAGCACGAGCAGAGATTCCACCGCTCGGGGGAAGAGTGTTTTGGCGGCTCGCCACAGCGGGGCGCCCGTCACGTGGCACTCCTCTCATCCTTTGTCTGCCATTCTACCTTTTCAACTTCGACGGCCGCGTCTCGTGGCGATCTGCCAGGCTTGTAAGTATACAGGAGGCTATGGTCCAATGCATGCTCAAAGCGCATGCCCGAAATATCAGTGGCCACGGAGCAACTACTGGAGGGCGCAGAATTCGTTTCGGAAAAGGTGCATCATACCTAGAAGTGTGGGAGGAAAGAACAATAAGATGATTTCTTTTTCTTCTTCGAGGGACAGAGGTTGTACGTCGCTGTCCACACGGATCACTTGAGCTCCACTAATTGGAGAGCCATCTTTTTGTTGGCTGAAAATCTGCAAAGCATGCATCACTTACTTTTGCATAACGGCGTCAACAGGGCTCAGGCTCCTTGGCGATGCTGACGCAGGGTGCGCTTGCTCCACAAAGCCAACATGAGAATCCATATTCCTGCAGAAAGAGAGGACAGCACGATAAACCGATAAAATGAGTGAGTATTGCGCTCCTGAGGATGTGTTGTAACCGCGACACTATCAGGCGCTGAGATGTATAAGAAATTCAATTAGAAATTCTCATATAAGACGGACCGGTCTTCGGGGAAAATAAAAGTTTACAATATTTCACGTAACTCCACCGGCTATCCAAATATTATTCTGAATGCCACTGTTCATGGGATTAAACTCAGTTTGCTTTTATCAATATTCATTTCGGTAAATACTGTTTGACGCAAGTGTTTTTGTTTAATTCTTAACTAAAGACTGCAATGTCATATCTTTTATCTTTTCAAATGTTTGACAAAAATGAACATATTTTACCATGTACTCATAAAGCACATTAAATGAATGTGATGCATGAAAAGGCGCGGGGAATTGAAATAATTCAACGTTCAGGTATAAAGTAGAATCCGAGTGGTGAGTGAACAAGTGAATGTGTTGGAAACAAAATAATGCAGTTTCCGTGAAACTTTTGTTCATGCACCGTGGTTTTGCTTTTTTTTTTTTACGGTTTTTATTATACATGTCTTTCAGAAAGTTGAGTTAATATCCCCAATACCGCCACCGAGGGTAAGGAAATCCCAACTATAGCAATAAACTTTAAAGTCAGATTGATTTCTATTTTCTTTAGAGTGTGCTTCGTCGCATACACTCAACCTTTTGTCTAAATGCTATTTATTTAAAGACACGCATGTTAAACACGAAACCGTTGTGAGAACAAAATGATAGCTCACTATAATACTATAAGAATGACCTACAAATGACACTGCGTGGCACTGTTAGTGCAAACAAGCCACAGCCAATTTGTTTTTCTTTTCCTCTCTTAGACTTTTTTCTATCGAGGTCACTATCATAAGTGGCAAAAGTTTATGCACGCTAATACCCTCGAACAATGCGGGGCAAGCACCAATATGGTGTTCGTGTTTACAATGTCGCGCAATGTATCGTTGACTCTCGCACCATTGGAAACGTGCGACCAGAGAGTGGTGCCACGGTGTGGCTGCTATCAGAAGCACTTCGCATTGAACGCGACAAGACTAGCGAAGACATCCTGCGTAGCAGCCGACCTTAATTCCTAAGGAATGTCAGCTTACATAAGCACAGAGCCATACAAAAACGCTCGGTGCCAGGATACACCTGGCGCTACCTTCTATTACGCGAGACCCGGAAATTAAGAACACAGATCCTCCTCCATGCGCCGGCGCTAACGGCCATGGCCATCTCAATCCCAGCATGTTCAATCCGCCGGCGAAGAGCTAAAAAAGACTTCTTACGTAGATTTCATAATTACAGGCACCGATGAATGTAGTCTCGTTGTGATTTCCGGACCTTCGAGCGCACAAACGTTTCACGGAGGCATACACAACCAATGGGAAATGAAAAGCATCGCGGTGTGACGCTGTCGTTGCCGCTCACAATTTGCGGGACACACGATTGAACCTGAGCTCCGAGCGACCCCTGCCGGTCGAGAGACGTGAAAACACAGAAAGAGCAACGCTGGACGGGGGCGCGTTCTGCGCGCTGCGTTCGCTGCGTCCGAAGTCGGACCTTTTTCACAAGGGCGCCGCCATCTTGAAATATCGTCACTTCCAGTATGGGCGAGAGCATTGTTTTGCCATCCCCACGCCAATAGAATGCATTTAGGAAATAGGCGTAACCGTCACCCATCCTCGTTTTGCCTCACCTCTATTTTTTTACTATTTGCAGGTTGAAATGTTTTAATATTTTTTTGTCACCCATACCGGATATGCCTACTTGGCGGTCGGGGGCGAGAGTAAGCGGAAAAGGTCTATAGCCAAACCCAACGTTACTAAAACACTCAGTTCGGAAAATCGCCGTCGAAACCTGGGCCGTTGGCGTCCACCGAGACCGAGATAAATACGACAACGGCGCCACTCTTTATCGTTTGTCTGTACTATGGTCACATTGAGCTTTTAAAAAGCCTGTTTTTGCGTAAAAACAAACGGAAAAGACTCTTTGTATAAAATTTATTGGAGTTCAGTACAAAAGAAAGGGCCCGTTATGTTTTTAAAATCTTTAGTTTGCAAGGTTTTGCGGCACAATTAATATTATTCTTATACAACCATCCTCAGCGGTGCATTCAGGTAGCGCGTCCCGACCTAAGTGCATTTTAACTTCGGTAGTAAGACGCGGCGCGTCCGCTGGGGAGACGGGGGTGGCACCCAGCCTCCTCCATTGCATCTGTTTCGCTGCCAAAATGGCCGATTAAAGCCAAAATAGAAGTAACGTGCGGTTCCTCGAATGGCCGCTGCGGGAGAAATGGTGGCGTTGTTTTCGTCATTAGCTCGGTGCTCGAGGACAAATCGGGGCCACTTTTCCAAAGCAGTCTCAATGGCAGTTTCCCAACTGAGTGGTTTAATAACGTTGGTCGAACCTTTAGAAAAGGTCCGAGGGGGTACAGCTGCGCTTTGTGACCATAGTCTCATATATACTGACAAAGGCTGGCGGATCGGCACACTACCGCCAGTGTACCGCCAGCGTAACCGTATTGAAACAGCTTATCGTTGCCTAATCTTTCTATCCGCAGAAAAGTGTCTCGCTTGTGTTTGTTCCACAAAATATATCATCATAATTCATCTCTCAAGCAAAGACTTCTAACACAACCCCATTATCTTTCAGCACGGAACGATCATAGATTCAAGGTTGGCATTCCATCTAGCAGGACTAACGCATATCATCATTCCTTTATTCCCAGCACCTCTTTGTATTGGAATCACCTTCCCATGGATGTTGCCGAAATCCTGGACATTTAGAGTTTTAGAAATGCCTTAACTAACATCTATTGCCTCACAGAACTATAGCCCTTCTGCTGTTTTGCTGTTGTGTATTGTTTCTATGTGTTTTTTTTTTTAAACCCACTCCCCTCTGTAACGCCTTTTGGCCCTGAGGGTACAATAAATAAATAAATAAATAAATAAATAAGCGGCCGCCGAAATGGAAAAGGTGGAGCGGCAGACAAAGGATGAGATGAGAGGCTCGTGACTGGCGCACCGCTGCAGTTGTTGTTAGAACGTTCTTTATTGCCCTGTTATATATAATATATGTCTACATATATACCCTACAACACATATATACGAGACGCCGAAACACCTTCTCCGGAGAGAACAAGTCAGTCTCGGGTCCTCGCCGCTGCAAAAACTGTGCGCTGAAGTCCAGGTTCCACTGGATAACTGTATATGCTACGCTTGCGTAGCACAGTATCGCAATTGTGCCAATCTGGAGCCAAGCACTGCGGGAAGCCACGATCGGTTTTGCAGGGGACACGAAGGCGCAGACGCGAGGCGGCCTGCTGTGGCGTACGGCTACGAGCCGTCATCGTCGTCCTGTCGTTTCCAGTTTCCCTCCTGATTGCAAAAATCGCGCCCGCGGGACACGCGTCGTCGTGGTGTGTGGTGTCCAGGGCTCCACACTCTAAGAAAAAATGGAGGCAAAACGTAGCAACGGCACATTTGCCTCCCTTCTACTGACGCGCCCCCAAGCGGACACGAGAAGAGGGGAGGAACGAGACGTTTTTCTCCTTCTCTAGGCAGACGAAAAAATTATTCCCCCCCCCCCCCAACTCATCTTCTTTCGGTTTCGTTTTTCGAGCACGTCGCGCACGTTGTTTAATAAATGTTGTTTAGTTGATTGAGCTTTAGCAGCAGCGAAGGCCGCCTGTAATTTCGTATTCTACTCCAAACGTGCAGAACATTTCGGTTGCATTGATGTTTTTACCACTAATTTTCTCAAACGAGCAGCCGAAGCCGCTAGAAACAGCGAGGTTCCGGAGCAGTGCCAGCAGCGCTGCGTGGCTAAAATGGCCATCTCCATATTGCGCAGCCCACGCTGAACCATGCGGACCAGGCGGAACGATGTGTCCTCAGTGGATGTGTCGACGTTGACGAAGTTATGGAAATCGCGGAAACTGCGTCCAAGACAGGCAGGTTTTGCTGCCGGCTGCCCGGTACCTTCTGTGCTGAGTTCGGTTCTGTTTTCTGATGCCGAGTGCCAACCGGCTGTCAACGTGGTTTTCTGTTTCTGCGTGTCAGCAACATAGCAGCAACATCGCGATGGCAGTGTTGTGCGTTGTGAACGGAAGTCTGGAATTATCGCCGATGTGACCGCGTGTTCGCGTATCACTGGTGTAACAACAAGATGAGATGATGTAAACTGTCAGGCATTGATGCCGCTGGTCGGACCGTGATCGGAGGGGTCGGGGTGTTGCAGGTTGACATTCCGCTTTGCATTAAAGAGTTCGAGACCACTTGAGGGATTAGGTGCAATCGATCGACGTGCGGATAGTCATGATGGAACGCTGGTCTGAACCGTAGCTTGTCGTACAGTAGCCAATGTGACTGTCGGTTGTCTTCTCCCCGAGAGCGATTGCTTTCTACGGAAAGGTACGAATAAATGACGGAAGGTACGTATATTTACAGTTTGGGATCTTAGCATTAAAAACGTTCAGCCTTTCCAGTCTCGTGAAGAAGGCAGACCAGCGGAGCTGTACTCGATACACTGCCGCAACGCGCACGCGCCCGTTTCCCGCTTCTTCTCGTTCGACACGCCGCCGATCGTGGATACGTCTTCGGCGAACCAGAGTCGGCTGCAGACGTCGCACGTGACGACAAACGGGTTCTCCACGAATTCCCTCCGGAACCTCACCGTCGCGCCCGGGAACTGTTGAGCCGGTGTGGAGTGCAGTTGTCGCCGGGCCTCGAGCTTGCGCTTAGCCTCCGTGGCTTCCATTTGACGGTCTCATCAACACGCAACCGCCCTTCCTCATAATGGGGCTTTCCAGGCGAGCGATGTGCTCTTCTTTGGCAAGAAAATTTGAAGCGCTCGACGCAGTGGAAGTCGAGGCGCCAACGGCTTTGCGGCGGTTGCGGACCGATTCGCGCTGCTGCGTACGTCGCCACTCCTTCCGCAGCCAGTCTTCCTTCCCCGAAAGGACGCGCG